GGCCAGCATTTACTGCCCATCCCTAATTGCCCAGATGGCAGTTAAGAGTCAACCACATCGACATGGGTCTGGACTCACTTGTAGCCCAGACCAGGTAAGGATGGCCGTTTTCCTTCTTTAAAAGAACATGAGTGAACCAGATGGATTTTTCCTGACAGCTGACAAGTGGTTTCATGATTACCATTTGACTCCTAATTCCAGATTTTTATTGAATTCAAATTCCACCAGTTGCCACGGTAGGATTCGAACCTGGGTGACCAGAACATTGCCTGAGCTTTCTTTTCCTCTGCTGGCTTATATTAGATCAGCAGTGCTTGCTGAAGTGTCTTGGTTTAACTTAGCTGATGCAAGAATGTATGGAAAAGTTTGCTTTTCTTAAATTCATCTAGGAGACGTCGGCACCACTACCCCGGCCAATATCTATTGCCCATCCCTAATTGCCCAGAGGGCAGCTAAGAGTCAACCATATTGCCATGGTCTGGAGTCACATGTAGGCCAGACAAGGTAAAGACATTAGTGCATCAGATAGCTTTTCCTAACAATGTGCTTCAGCGTTACTTGCATCTGGATCAGGTCATGGTATTAATTCATTGAGAAAACAGTGATGTTCTATGTGCACAGGTACCTGTTTCCTACTTCACTTCAGCACTGTCCTGTCCTTCAAGTTTCTTATACGGGGCATGAATGTACATGTTGGCTTGGAAGTTATTTGGCTTGATGCGGACTACGTTCTTTAAACTGTTGCTTGAAGAAGTGACCTCTTTACCCACAAGGAATACATTTTTGTACTATGGCTGGACAGCTTTAGCTTTACTCAGATGAGGTTTTGAAACTACACCCGGGCTAAGCTACTGCGGCATTAGATTGCCTCGGATTCTGCATTGAATCTTCACACATGCAATAATTTTCAGGTGAGAGATTGCTATTCTTCTGTCAAATGCTCTTCTGCGCTTTAAATAGTAACCATTCTGTCGAATATTCTGCATTTAATAGAATTTTTGCTGTATAATGCTTCTTGAACAATTTTCTAGACTCTATCCACTGCTATTTCGATAGCTTATCCTGGAGCTAGGTCCTGTTTTGTCTACTTCATTAGTGGCTGATTTATCCAAAGATCAATGACAATTCAGTTGTAAAAGAGCTCTTATTGTAGGTTTCCAGAGTTTCATGGTTCAGACAGCTTCATTACTACCTACAAATTGTTTTGGAGTTAGTATCTGCTATTGAAGAGTGTGCCCACTAGTGTCCAATTTGTTCTGGAAATGAAATATTGACCAAATCTGTCAGGAGGTTGTCAAACATAATTGATTTCTCATTGCTCTGTTATCTGTGTAACACAGGATTTGATGTTCTCACATAGGAGAATCTCTTGTGGCACAGTGGTAGTGTCCCTTCACCTGGATCAGGAGGCTAAGGTTCATGTCCCACCTGACCCAGAGATGTGTAATAACAGGTCTGAATGGGTTGATTAGAAAAATAGGTTTTCTTTTTAAAAGAAAGAGCAGAGAAGTGTGCTAATCTGTTCTGCATTTGATTTGGTGTCCAATCATGAAGCTACTTGAAATTTTTGGCATTGTGCTTTCCTATTTGCTGATCTATAAAATGGATCTAACAGCTTGAATTTTTCTGGTGCAAAGACAGTAGAGGTAGATTTTGTAATAACGCCTGATGGTTGATGGGTGCTTGCAGTTGTTGATTATTTTTATCTGTATGATAAATTGTTGGTGTTCTGATCGCATTGGACTACACCCATTTTGTTGCCTTGCTTTCTTAGCTGATGACAGTTGTTGCTACATTTTTGGTGTTGGAAATATTGTTGTAGAAATACCAAAAACTCTGCTGATTTCATTTCTGTTTTCAATATAAAGTTTGGTTCCCTTTACCAAAATGGCTGAAGAATATCAAAAAGATTTGTGGGTAGAAAGTCCAAAAATGGTGTCAATCAATAAGAATTGGTGAAGTTTTAAACTGCATCAAAATTGGCTGCTGTGACCTCAGTCACACCATTTGTGTGTGCCTGAGGCATTTTCATGCCAAATTTGAAACTACACAATCAGATTCACCCTTTTATTCTTTATCTTCAACTTGTTTTAAAGCAATTAAAATGTCAATTAAAATGCTTAGTTGCTGAATAATACTTATGTTTCTCATTCAAACTGTCAAAATAATAAATACTACGCTAACTTCACTGTTGCAGATCCTTAAACTTTGATTAAACATTTCTTCGCAGAATTTACAATCGATGGCAAAATATTGTCATTCCTGGAAATCTGAAAGGAAAACAAGATGCTGGAGAAACCCTACAGATCTGTCAGCATCTGTGGAGAGAGAAACAAAGTTAACATTTCAAGTCAAGTATGGCTCCTCTTCCAAAATCTTCAGGTTCCAAACAGTTGCACGAGACTTGAAATTTCTGAAGGAGGGTCTAGGCCCGAAACATCAGCCTTCCTGCTCCTCTGATGCTGTTTGGCCTGCTGTGTTCATCCAGCTTTACACCTTGTTAACTTGAAATCTTAACAGTTTTTCCTCTCTGCACATCTGCTGCCAGACTGGTTGGGTTTCTCCAACACTTTCTGCTTTTAAAACTATTTTTACTCCCAATTTTTTTGTTTCGATTGATTTATTTTAAGCCCTTTTGAAGAATCTTCTTCACTTGCTTGTTGTGAACTGTCATCAAGTAAATTGTTTAGAAATTGTGAAAACATAGTTAGAAACCCTGACACTGTTTGAGAGCCTAGCTCTTGGGGACGGAAACAAAACTATTTCTTTTCTCTAAAGGACCAGACATGATTTGGGAGCCCAGTCTTTTCATGGGTTATCTATCCAGATTTCTCTTTGATTACTCATGCACTTTAAGTGCTCTCGCTGCTTTGCTCATTTCTCCTATTACCAGTTGTAAAACATACTATTCCGAAACACAGAAGATTGCAGTAATTTCTCTGCAGAAGTTTCTGTTTCGAAATCTTTTCTTCACAGCAGTTCACCCTCCAGTTTTTCTGGCTGCCAGTTCTTCTTAAAGCCGTCCCAAAAATATTTGGAGGAAATAAAACTGATTTTTTGAGCGCTTCGCTCCAAATCATTTGGAGGTCCGTTTCCTGATCCTCACTCCTGTGATCACTTTCCAGGCAGTGAATCCAGTTGCCACCGTTATATTTAGTTGTGCAATTTGTTGCCCAAATCCATGTGCTAGGGTTCAAGACTGACTTAGCGAGAAGAAAGCCAGGTCAAGAACTATTTAAGTTTGGGCTTCTTTTATAATACACTATTATATTCAGACTAAATACTACAACACAATGGTATTCAGAGGGATACCAGGAACTAATCTTCCTGTTACATTATTGAAAGATTATTTGATAACCTTTACTGCCTAATGGTAGTCAGCTTACTCCACAAGCTTCTCTCTTCAGTAACACTAATGTTCTCATGGCTAGGACTACCTGCATTACTTTTTGCCCTCTTAACTCTGCTTATACTGCGTTAGTCATGTCCAGTGAGAAGCAGTTTTTTAACATTGCAAGACTGTTTCTTCGTCCTAAAGCCCTTGCACAACAGAAGGGAAACGCCTTGTGGGAGTTATTCCTCAATCTGTCACATCCAACACCCGAGACGGGTGCCCCGCCAGGCTTTCCCCGAGATCTCGGAAACATGGAAATGGATGGGAAACAGCTTTAAATAGCAAACAATCGGTCATTTAAGGGTGTTAACTGGGGCGAGGGTGGGCATAAAACTAGACAGGGTAACTGGGGCGAGGGTGGGCATAAAACTAGACAGGGTAACTAGGGCGAGGGTGGGCATAAAACTACAGACAGGGTAGGAGGATGTGGGAAGGCAATGTGGGGAATTTTACAGACAAGGGAATCTAAAATATAGTTTGACTGTGGATTTCAAACTGGTTTTGTTCAGCGTAGATGTTGAGCGTGCTCCCTGACAGCTGGTTTTCCTTGACCACTGACTCGGCACAACCAAGCGTTTGACAACATTCCAACCAGCCACACCGCTACCAGTGATCACTACGAGCCAACTTCAAACTCCAAGTCTCCTGGAATCTGATCTAAGTAAACACAGGACACACACTGCAAGCACCTCAATTACAGCAATAAAAAGAACTAACTGTTCACTGCTTCACCTCATCCAAAGGCAGGCCAGATCTATGCAATATTTCTAGAAACCTATCAACGGATACTAATTTGTGTCTATTTTACACTACGGCCTTACTCCATTGTTAAATCAAAAGGGCGCAACTTCTTTCCGATGTATACCAACAACTTCTGCAATTCTCACGGCTGCATGCAACAGAGAAACAAAGAGTGGAGGAGAAAAGCATCAAACTTGTTGGGGAATTATCAGCTCTGCTTCAGGAGCTCTGGCTTTAAAGAGACAAGGTACTATACTAAAACATTTCAAATTTCAGCCAGAGTAGTCTGGGGCTGTGGCCCACTCCAAAAATAGCCGTGATTCTGACAGTTTTGTCGATGCTTTTTTCGGTTTACCACTCTTAACTGCTGATCCAGAGAGTAGTTTAGTTGACAATAAATCATATTCACTAAAAAGGTCAAAGTCTTGTTGGCTAAGAACACAGTATAAGAACCATTGCTTGTACAATGTTCCATTATAACTGCTTAATGGATGCAAGCTATAATAAATGCAGTTTAAAGGGCATTTTCTGAATTTGATTTGTCTTCCAAGTACATTTCTTACATTATGTGTGTTGAGGGAAGAGACTGAAGATGATGGTGCCATGTTATTGGTGCTGTATGTACGGCACCAGTCTCTTGTTCTTTCTCGCCAGTCTTTTCAGTCAGTGGCTCTGCTCAGTCCTATCCCAGCACAGGAATTTGCTGAGATCACTAACACTGGTTGTGGACAATCATTAATGCATGCAACTGCATCATTGTGTATACAAGGCATGCAAATATGTGACAAATTGTTCTGGGAGAGTTATACAATTTGCAAATTTACAACGCAGTAGGTGGTTTTATAATACCCTTATTGCATCTTACCTTTGATCCTATGAGTGTGTAGAGCCATTGGATAGTTTCATTGTGGTCAATCACCCCATTCATTCCATCCACATACAGCATAATCTGGCCAAGAGCTGCAAAAACAAAAGCAACTGCATTTATTTAATATCCAGAGCTGGTCATGATGGAGCATAAACAGCTGGTGTCTCGGAAACATAGCTGCAACTGTTGTCAAATACTGAAGCAACGTTATTTAATCTATTTTCGGCTGATCACAGATTCTGAGGTTTACTCAAATATGTGAATTATCATCCAACAATAAATCAGGTTTTAAGAATATTTAGATTTCTGGATCACAACCTTCCATAACAGTTTAGATTAAATTACAAAAAGTAATTTCTGCTGCACTGATAGTTCAGTGGTCAGTCACATGGTTGTGCAACAAGTTATGTAGACCCATAAATGGCTCAGCTACGGTATGTGACCTTTGATGAATTTCTTTTGGTTCAAAGACAAGAGTAATTAACATTTAATTCGTTTCAGAGCAGTAGCATTAGAGACAGTTAATCTTAAACCTTGTGTGAATATTAACACAACGGCAATTGAAGGGAATGTGAACCAAGACCCAACCTTGACTTATATTGGAATAAGCTGCCCTACAGAATTGTCTGCTGACATGGGATCTGGATGGAATACTCCATTTCATGGTTGAAGTAAATCCTAGAAGCATCTGTCCTGCTTCTTAGCAGAAGCTAATCACAGGACAGTCCTGAAAAATCAAGTCAATTCAGTCTCACCAGGCTATAGGGCTGCTCTTTCAGTAAAGAGAAACAACTGGTGGTGATTTAGCCCAAGGGCCACAACACCTCAGGCGAGAGGGGAAGAGGTTGAGAAGCATAGCCCTTCATGGTAATCTGAGCTGGTGTGGGGATTGAACCCACACTGGTCAGCATCATCCTGCTTCGCAAACCGGTCATGCAGCCAACAGAGCTGTAATGACCCCCAGTCCTGAGAATAAGCGCAGACCAGTCATTGGAATGGTCTTGAGAACGAAGTCTCAGTTCCTTCCCTAAAGAAAGATAGAGGGCAAGAGTTAAACTTCAACTTCTATGGTCATAAGAACTGGAGAAAGATGCCCAATTTCTCTAGGAATATGTGACTGTTCCAAAGGGCTCTTATGAGGCAGTGGCAGTGTCTCTACTTCCAAATCAGGAGGCCCGAGATCAAGTCATTCCTGCTCTGGAAATGTGTAATAACATCTCTGAACAGGTTGATTCGAAAGTATCTACATGGCTGTTCCATCCAGGCAAACACCTTATGGTTCTAAAGGTAGAGAGAGATGTATACCTCTGGTCAACCATCCTGTAATAGACACAACACATTTATACCAAACATGTTGATTTTGATAAAGCCACTTACGTAGAGAAGATTTAAACTGAGAAACCTCATTAAAGGACTGTGGCTAATAACAAAGAACACCTTCACAAGCAAAAAGGCATGCAAATTAAGACCAGATCATTTTAAAAAAAGTAATTAAATAACCTTTTGCTTTTGAAAGTGCGCAAGTTATAGAAGGCTAAAGACAGCCAGCTAAGGACTTCAGTTTTAAGGGAAAGGATCAAAGGCCCCGAGTACTAACATGAAACATGTAACAGAAAGATTTGAAACAGCAACTATATTATTATAGACCATCCTCAACAGCCTGCCCTTGCAAAATCCCAAAACAGAACATCTACGAATAAAACATGGTTCTGTGATTGGACAGGACCACTTGAACAATCCTGAATGAGATCACAATTAGATTGGCCATCATCTTGTTGAGTAGCAGAGCAGGTGTGAGGTACAGAATGACCTACTCCTGCTCTGAATTCATATTTCTGTCTACGTTTGGTTGATGTGTTCTAACCGCTATATTAACAACCAGTTTAAAGATATCAAGTCAAGCTTGTAATATGACTCACTTACGTATGAGATAAGTAATGCACATACACACATATAAAAGGTGTATGTTGAAGCCTCACAGCTTTTTTTTTGAATATTTAGGAGCTTGGGGAGCCTACAATTCTCTACTGCTTTATCCAGTACCAATCAATCAATATCCATTTCCTCCTGTAGTATAAATTGTGGGGGCCTGTTTTCACATTCTTGTGTTTGTCCTGCTAAATGCAATTTAAGAAACTTCGACAAGATGTCTCTCTTTTCAGCAACATTCAACTAAACTCATGTCACAATAACATATTGGAAACAAGCTTTCCTCTTGATTTGTCTTTTAAAAAAAGTTTTAAACATGAATATTTTCTTGATATCAGCTGCTGTCGAGGATGGGATGTACATTATTTCAGGAACATGAGGCGAATCTCCTCAGCAATCTAACAGAGATGACAAGGTGTAGAGCTGGATGAACACAGCAGGCCAAGCAGCATCAGAGGAGCAGGAAGGCTGACGTTTTGGGCCGAGACCCTCCTTCAGAAATGGGGGAGGGGAAGGGGATTCTGAAATAAATAGGGAGAGAGGGGGAGGTGGATAGAAGATGGATAGAGGAGAAGATAGGTGGAGAAGAGACAAACAGGACAAAGAGGCTGGGTTGGAGACAGTAAAGGTGAGTGTAGGTGGGGAGGTAGGGAGGAGATAGGTCAGTCCAGGGAGGACGGACAGGTCAAGGGGGCGGGATGAGGTTAGTAGGTAGACGGGGGTGAGGCTTGGGGTGGGAGGAGGGACAGGTTAGGGAGGCGGGGACGAGCTGGGCTGGTTTTGGGATGCAGTAGGGGGAGGGGAGATTTTGAAGCTTATGAAGTCCACATTGATACCATTGGGCCGCAGGGTTCCCAAGCGGAATATGAATTGCTGTTCCTGCAACCTTTGGGTAGCATTGTTGTGGCACTGCAGGATGCCCAGGATGGACATGTCATCTGAGGAATGGGAGGGGGGAACTGAAATGGTTCGCGACTGGGAGGTGCAGTTGTTTAGTGTGAACCGAGCGTAGGTGTTCTGCAAAGCGGTCCCCAAGCCTCCGCTTGGTTTCCCCGATGTAAAGGAGGCCACAACGGGAACAGCAGATGCAGTATACCACATTAGCAGATGTGCAGGTGAACATCTGCTTGATGTGGAAAGTCTTCTTGGGGCCTGGGATGGGGGTGAGGGGGGAGGTGTAGGGGCAGGTATAGCACTTCCTGCGGTTGCAGTGAAAAGTGCCGGGAGTGGTGGGGCTGCAGGGGAGCGTGGAGCGTGGAGCGTGGAGCGGACAAGAAAGTCCCGGAGAGAGTGGTCCCTCCAGAAAGCAGATAAGGGTGGGGAGGGAAAAATGTCTTTGGTGGTGGGGTCGGATTGCAGATGGGGAACAGCAACTCATATTCCGCTTCGGAACCCTGTAGCCCAATGGTATCAACGTGGACTTCACAAGCTTCAAAACCTCCCCTCCCCCTACCGCATCCCAAAACCAGCCCAGCTCATCCCCGCCTCCCTAACCTGTCCTTTCTCCCACCTATCCCCTCCTCCCACCCCAAGCCACACCCCCATCTCCTACCTACAAACCTCATCCCGCCCCCTTGACCTATCCGTCCTCCCTGGACTGACCTATCTCCTCCCTACCTTCCCACTTAGACTCACCTCTACTGGCTCCATCCCCGCCTCTTTGTCCTGTCTGTCTCTTCTCCACCTATCTTCTCCTATCCGCCTCCCCCTCTCTCCCTATTTATTTCAGAATCCCCTTCCCCTCCCCCATTTCTGAAGAAGGGTCTAGGCCCAAAGCGTCAGCTTTCCTGCTCCTCTGATGCTGCCTGGCCTGCTGTGTTCATCCAGCTCTACACCTTGTTATCTCAGATTCTCCAGCATCTGCAGTTCCTACTATCTCTGAAGCAATCTAACAATTGATTTTGCAGCTGTAGACACTGAGTATTCAGAAACAAAGGACTTCAATTTTGACATATGCTGTATTAGAAGAAAAATACAGTGTCAGAATCTTAAGTCAGAGGAAAAAATCCACAAGGAATATACATAATCTTAAAAAATACAACAGATATTATGCGGAAGAGCGTTTCAGGCCAAGAGGGAGATGAATATAAATGCACATCTGTTCATCAAACCATTTGTAATCATCTATTCATACTGAAACACTTAAAATGTAATAAAGTTCTCTTGGTTAAACCCAATCATGACAGGTCAAATAGTTTCTGCCAAATTCATTGATAGCTGATGCCAATCTCTAAATGGGAACATTTGTTAACCTTTTATGTCCAGTGTCAGCTTTTGATCATTCGGGGCATCCAACGGAGATTCCAAAGATTTGTCCAATGTTCCAGATCATCTACTTACTTCACAGATTTCGTGTTTTAGACTAAGAAGAATATCCTGTTTACCTTCAATGTTTTTAGCTGTCAGGAAGAACACATTAAATGTCCTCCATTCTAGAACCTGAACGGACACCAGCAGATAATATCCCAGGCTAATATCCATAAATCTTTGGCATCAATGACATTATTCTGCAGAAAGGAAACCTGGCTTATTTTGGTAGTTTGTAGGAGAATAATATTTAAACTTAGAAATCTATAGCAAGTAGACCTCCCTAAATTACTGCAAGAAGCAAGGATTGAAAACTCAAGAAGCTGCAAGGAAGCTTTCCCTTCAACCTGCACGGTATCTTTGTTGAGAATCATAACTCATTGAATTAGAAAAAAAAAAGTTGCCCTGGTTGCAAAGCTGTAATACATGGGTTGGTCCCCTCTAACAGTGGCAGGAATGCATAGAATCCTGAAAGAGAACACACTTGCCCATCAGTTCCTCTGCTCCTTCCCCTCTCTATCACTTGCTCTCGTTCCCTCCTCCCCTCTAAGTAATGTGTGTGAAACCTTTCACCTACAGTATGCAGGAGCCATAATATAGGAGTATGGGATGAGGGAGATGGAGAAGAGAGAGAAAGAAAGCAATCATTCAGCTGTTAACCCTCTTCCCCCATTCAATTTGACAACGGCTGTTCCCTGCAGTAAATGGTTTGCACCAGTGAAGGGGGATAAGAGAGAAAGTGCGACCTGATCTGACAAACGATAACACCAGGACACCAACCTATATATTCAGATGGGCAACATGCATAAGGAGTTCCTATCCCACACTGATACTTGGAAACCTTTGAATGCTAGTT